TAACCAAGTAGGGATGTTGTCTTTATTCCTGTCCCTTTGGGTTTTGCTGCTTGGAAGTTGTTGGACGTCCAGAACTTTGCTTTCATTGCTCTGCTCTGTTCTGTGAGTGACTCCCTGTCACTCAGGCTGCCCTTTGGCTTTGGTGGCATCTCGTTGCTGACTCACCTTCCTTTGCATAAAAAACTCTGTGGAGTTTAGTACAGGAACGTTTTCTAAGAACAGAGATCGTGGCTGTGCATCCAAAACACCTCAATCCTGATCAGGAGATCCTAGAAAAAAAAAAACCCACCCATTTCTCCTTCCCGTGTCTCCCGAGTTATTGATGCTCTGACAAAGAACTTCATAAAAAAATTAAGCTCCTCATGGGAAGAAAACAGCCCCAAATCTTGTAATCTCCTGGGAATTTCACATGTGAGAAGTCACTCTCTAATTAGAGTTGGGTGCTGCAGGACTGCGTGTAGCCCTCCCTGTCTGGAGACATCTCGTTATGATCTGAAAAGGTCAAAAGAAATGGGTGACTTGCTCCAAAGGAAAATGGTGATGGAAGTGTCAAAGGCCGTTGCAGGCAGCAGTGGGAGCAGCAGCTCCTCCTCAGGACTTGGGGAGCAGTTCAAAGCTCATTTTGTTGATATTTCTTTGGCACCCTTGGTGTGGAACCTGCCCCTGTGGGACCTGCCTGTCTGCTGCTCCCTTTGATTGCCCTACAGCTCCTCTGGGTTTTCCTTTTGGGATGCAGCAGCAGGGGAAGGAGCCCTCCTTTCCTAACATCTGATCCTTCCCAAATATATCCTGGATGGCTGCTGGGATGGGTTTTTCCATGGCTGCCTTGCTCTGAGCTGGGAACCTCTGGCTCTGTTGGTGTTCCTGGGAAACATTCTGCTGGAATAACTGACCTGGGCAGCTTAGGAGCTGCAGAGCTGCAGTGCTAAGAGTGGGGAAATGATGGGAAAATGGGTGTTTACTCTCATTTTGACTTTATCCCTGCTTTCTGACCAGCTGAGCCTAAACTGACTTTGCTCCTGAAGTCTTGTCATGAGCTGGAGCTGAATCCATCCACTCCTTCCCTCCCTGGGAGGGAAAAGGCCTCGTGCACAGCCAAGGGCTGTGGGTGAGCTGCTCCTCCTGTGCTGCACCTTGTTTCCAAGGTTGGAATTTGCAGCTGTTCAATGTTGTGCCCTCTGCTCTCCCTGCAGTGAAGGAGAAGCTACGCCTGGACCCGGACAGTGAAATCGCCACCACGGGTGTCCGGGTGTCCCTCATCTGTCCGGTGAGTCCAGCTGTTCCCATGGGATCAGCCTGGTTTGGGTTGGAAGAGACCTTAAAACCCATCCAGTGCCACCCCCTGCCATGGGCAGGGACACCTTCCACCAGCCCAGGTTGCTCCAACCCAGCCTTGGACACTCCCAGGGATGGGGCAGCCACAGTTTCACTGGAAAATCCTTTCACGGCCTCGCCACCCTCCCAGGGGAGAATTCCTTCCCAATATCCCATCTATCCCTGCCCTCTGGCAGTGGGAAGCCATCCTCCTTGTCCTGTCCCTCCATATTTTGTCCCAAGTCCCTCTCCAGCTCTCCTGGAGCCCCTTTAAGCCCTGGAAGGAGCTCTCAGGTCTCCCTGGATCCTTCCCTTCTCCAGGTGAACCCCCCCAGCTCTCCCAACCTGGCTCCACTCCCCTATTTAGACTATTTTCACCCCAAACCCCAAATCCCCTGCTGGACCAGCATTACAAACTCCCAAATCCTTCTCCTTCAGAGGGGGAACTGGGGGATTCCTGGGCTGTTCCCTGGCTGACATGGTGCCCTTGGTCCCACAGCTGGTGAAGATGCGTCTGTCGGTGCCGTGCCGGGCGGAGACCTGCGCGCACCTGCAGTGCTTCGACGCCGTCTTCTACCTGCAGATGAACGAGAAGAAGCCCACGTGGATGTGCCCTGTGTGTGACAAACCTGCCCCCTACGACCAGCTCATCATCGATGGGTGAGCTTGGACCCCTCTCAGCCCCTTCCTCCCCTCTCCTCGTTCTCCCTGAGCGTCTTCGCTCGAGAGGTTCCTCCTCAAAGCTCTCCCCAAAGTTTCTTCTGCCGGCGCAGAATCTCCACGCTGAAGTGTCACAGCAAGACCCAGATCTCTCTCTGCCATTCTTGGGTTGGTTTTGGGGTTTTTTTTGGAATGCACTGAAGCATTTTGAGGATTGAGAATTTGCTGCCTCGCTCACGGGCTGGTGTCCTGGTTGACAAGATGTCTCCTCGCACGGAATAAATCCCTTCGTAAACACCCAGGAAGATGATTTTTGAAAGGAAACATCTTGTTTTCCTCAGTGTGAGGTGCTCAGCAGCTCACAGGCAGTTCATGGCACGCTGCAAATTTGATCTGGGGACCTTCTCCATCTACCAGAACGTCCTGCCCTCGAGACTGAGGCACAGAGGCAGTTTTGGGAAGAGTTTGTTCTGTCTGTGTGACTGATCAGTACAATTCCTGTGGCTCTTGTGGGTGTCTTGGTGACAGGGCTGGGAAAGATCCCTCAATAGCAACTCCTGCTGTATTTTCCAGGGGGGAAAAGCAGGAGATTCAGATGCAGTGGAGGGACAGAATTAAACTGCTTTGGTTATGTTTTCCAGGCTGGAGGTTTTCCCCATCCACCTGGACTCCCTGAACCTCCCAGTCCTGGTTCCTCTGGGGACACCCAGTGGGGGTTGATCCCTTCCTTGGGGTCTTTAGGGCCCCCCAGGTCCCTGTGGGGTGTGGGATGTGCAGGGAGGGACCAGACCTTTGGTGCAGCACTTTTGGGGTGGGTTTGGAAGCAGCTTTGTTGCCCCAAAATTCTGGGAGCCCGTTTGTGGGCTGGGACCACCAGCACCGTCGTGGTGCTGGCCAAGCCCTGAGCCACCCCCAGGACTGCTGGAGCCACACACGTGGTTCCTGCCTTCTGGAAAACCAGCTCCACCCTCATGGCTCGTGGAATTGGCCTCTGATGCAGGTTCCTTCAAAAGTAGGGAGGGTTTAGAGGGGTTTTTGGGGTGCATCCAGCTCCCCTGGCACACGAGTCTGTTCCCAGGGCCGATGGTTCTCGGAGCGTCGCCGCGTTTGTGGCTCCTCGTTTGATCCAGGAGCTGTGGCTTTCCAGGCAGTCTGGAGGCTGGAGCAGCCTCAGCACAGATAACCTGTTTGCTTTGTCCTCTGGCCAACCCCAACAGGAAAATCCAGTTCCTTGGAGATCCCTAACAAGGGGAAGGTAGGAGGGGTTGGGCTGTGGAAGCCCCTCGTGTCCTGGGTGAGGAGGAGGAGGAGGGTGTCAGAGGGGAAGGCTCAGCAGCCTTTAATCCCTGCTCTGCACTGCTCAGGGATGAGTTTTGGTGCTGGTTCTGTTGGATGAAGGTTGTTTCAGATTCCCTGGAAGTGGCTGAGGGAACCTGGCACTGTGAGTCAGGGAAGAGCCGGAGGCTCCCGAGGAGGGAGGTGGTTGGTCGGGTCTGGGATCCTCAGGGCCTTGGCAGCTTTTTGGGAAGTGCAGCTTGGTGGTTGCTCTGCTGGATGATGGGATTGTCTGTGGAGACAATTCCTGCAGGAGCTGAGCAAAGCTGAAACTCTCTCAGTGGTGGGACCTAAAGTTTCTCCTGAGCTTGCTACGAATTCTCCCTTCTCCTTGAAGGGAAATGCTCGAGTCCAGGAAGGAATGAGGCCTTGCAGTTCCAAATAAACATCCCAGGCAAACAGTGGGACACAGGGAATAAATCAAGCCCCCTGTTTCTCTGGGCTCAGGGCCTCGTTCCAGTTGGATCCCTGCAAGGCCTGACCTCGAGGGATCCACTCCAGGTGTAATTCCAGTCCTGAACAGGGTTTTCCTGTTGCAGGGAGGCTCCATGTGTTGTTTTGATGGCAGCTGTGGAGATTTGGGAAATAAAACTCTAGGAAGGAAGCGAGGTGCTGCTTGTTGGATTGCTGATTTCCCAGTGTGACAGGATATTTCACCTTCTGCTAATGCCACGGTGGGAATGTCCCTGGGAATGTACCCGGGAATGTCCCTGGGATGGGACAGCAGGCTCTGCCTGGAAGCAGTACCTGGGAAACTGGGTGAAGAGGCAAAACTGTCTTTAATTGCACCTAATTAAGGTGGTGCTTGATGGTTTGGGTGCTCCCAGTCAGGGAGGACTGGGATGGTTTCACCCTCAGAACTGGCGCTGGTTTTATGGGGAATAAATTCCACGACTCCCAAGAGCTCCCAGCTCAGGAGCTTTCTGCCATCACCACATTCCCTTGACATGTAGGGCTGGTGAAGGTAGAAGATGCAGGGTCTCTGAAGACACTGTGCTGGTTGCCTGGGCTGTGACAGCTCCTCCTGTCTCCCGTGCAGGCTCCTGTCCAAGATCCTGACGGAATGTGAAGACGCGGATGAGATCGAGTACCTGGTGGACGGCTCCTGGTGTCCCATCCGAGCTGAGAAGGAGAGGAGCTGCAGCCCCCAGTGCCCAATCTTAGTTCTAGGTGAGTCCCCGTGGGGATAAAGGCTTGAAATCCCTGTAGGAAATCACAGAATTCCGGAATGATTTGGCTTGGAAGGGACTTTCAAGCTCATCCAGTCCCACCCCCTGCCGTGGGCAGGGACACCTCCCACTA